GCTGAAAACTATTCAGCCTTCAACACTCAATTCAGAGGGTTCACTTTGCACAGGGAGCCTCCCCAGGCTCTGCCTTCCCTCCAGGTGCAGCCATTCATTCCTCCTCTGTGATCTTATAGGGCCCCACAAACCCTCTCATCGAGTGTAATTGTCTACACTGTAAATCCCACCACACCCTGAGCCCCAGGGGGAAGAGGTTCTAGGAGGCTTTGCATCTCTATCATTCTCAGTTGCCATGGGTTTCTGCAGAGTAGGTATCCAATGAAGAGCCTATGGCACCCAAGACAGCTGTGTTTTAGCTGCTGCCTATGCATTCATACTTGGCTTTAGGTGAAAGTGAATCTCTTCCAGAAGGTTGAGTAGACTTCACCAGCACTTACCTCTGCAGTTTTCCGTGTCAGTTTAGCTCTTGGATTAATTCTATTTCAGATTGTGGAAATGTTAATTTCCATGGTGATCATTTCCTATGAAGTATTTTGCTGCCATGGAAACATAGCTTAGAAAGGTCCCCATGCTGTGGTCACCCCCTAATTCCAAGCAAGGTGGCCCCTACTGCAGCCTAACACCCTTTCTGCAGGGAGTCTCCTCTGGGCACTGTTGGCCCATCCTTACCCTTCACGTGACTTTGGGTGTCTTACTGAACTCTGCCTGGGTGTGTTCCTATGGGCTGTGGGGTTGGGCCGGGCCCTATGGTCTGCTCATTGTTTGTTATAGGGCAAGACTCTGAGCCTTAATTTTATTGCCTATAAAGTGAAGAATTGTGACAATAATAGTTTACGTCCCAGGGTGGTTTTGATAATTAGTTTCTCCTAGGAACAAAATGTTGATCCAGGAAGTGCAGTGTTTGTCCTGCGATGGGCACCGTCTCCCACCTGATGCTGGTCCCCTGGAAGGTCCTTGTGTATGCGATTATCTGAAGGTGGAGATGAGCCATGTTTTGTCTGTAGTCTCTGAAATCATCTGAGATCGTATGAGTGTGCCTGAGAGCAACAATTTCCCCCTCAGGATTTCCTGAGCTCATTTTTCTCATTCATCTTGCTGGCTTGAAAATAGACAGGACTGGGATTTTCTCCTGGGATGCGATCTTCAGATGCGGGATTTAAACCATCCCAGGAACAGAAAGGAAACCACTCGGCATGGCTGAGAGAGTCTCTGCGTGCCAGTCAGGATAAACTGGGAAGGGAAGAGGCCCAGGGAAGCCATGTGTGGTGGGATGAACACTGGGTCCCTGTAGGGCAGACTTGGGTTCCCAGCTTCACCCGCCACTTATCCTTGGTGTCACTTGAGGCAAATGGGCCTCTCCAAGCCCCAGTGATATGAAGATAAGACTCGCAGCTTTGTGAGCATGAAACACAACCCATGGAAAGCAGTGAGCAAGTGCCTGGCTCAGAAGAGGTTCTCAATTCAAAATAGGGATTTCTTCCAACTACAGTTGAGGCTTTTGCTTCTAGACTGTCTACACTTCCAGTTCAAGTGTTAAGGCTTTTTTGTAGCTGAACCATCCCAAGTGACTGGTTTGGCTGTGTCCCCACCCAAATCTCAACTTGAATTGTAGATCTCTTCTCATATGTTGTGAGAGGGAACCAAGGGAAGGTAATTGAATCATTGGGGCTGGTCTTTCCCACGCTATTCTTGTGATAGTGAGTAAGTCTCACGAGAGCTGATGGTTTTATCAGGGCTTTCTGCTTTTGCTTCTTCCTCATTTTTCTCTTGCCACTGCCATATAAGAAGTGCCTTTCACCTCCCACCATGACTCTGAGGCCTCCCCCACCATGTGGAACTGTAAGTCCAATTAAGCCTCTTTTTCTTCCCAGTCTCAGATGTCTTAATGAGCAGCATGAAAATGGACTAATATGCTCCCCAAACTACAAATACACACATTCATACACACAGTCACATGCATAGACACATAAACACACTCACACATGTACTTCACACAGGCTCTTGCACACACACACCCCGGCAGCAGAAGTTCAATTCCTTTACCTGACAAGCATTCAGTAAGTCACTACTACGTGTCCAATAACAGCAGGGGCTGAGGAGGCATATGTGAAAACCTGTTTACAATGTGAATTCCCTAAATCCCTAGATAAAATGAACATGGAGTCCAACCGTCAGAAGCGTTTGAAAAGTAATCCCTTTTGCATTTTGGGCTTTTCATAAAAGTTGTGATAAGCTGAGAAATTCTGAGGAGTGAGAAAAGACTACCCCTTGTTGGATCTTTCTTATGCAGTAAAAAGCCCATCACATGTATTCACATTCTGAATGAATTTTGTAAGTTGGTGAGAGAAAATAAGAATAAATAAAAATATATTTTAAAAAGACCCAGACAGTTACCCAGGAGAACAAGTGAATGACTTTTGATACTGCAAATTCAGATTTTCCAATATGAAAATATTGACTCCATTTTTCTTTGCGTTAACCACAGGCTGCGGCACAACCACTTCCTTGCACCCCTGGGTAGCATGAGCCATGATGTGAGCTGTTCATTTCTCAGGTCCTACAAGGAAAACAGGAGGGAAGAGGGTCCTTCTGTGCTTGAAGCAGGAGTGCTGAGTGGGCATCCTTGTTGGGAGCCTCATCCACATTCACAGTGGAACCGCATGAGCAACTTAATATGTCACCAAAATGTACTCTATGTTTTACTTGGTATTTCCTCATTTATGCTCAGAAAAATCCTGTGTGGGACTTTTTATCCCAGTGTTCAAACAGGAAACAGGTGCTCCCAGCCTGAGTCACATGTACGGGGAGTCACCCCCCTGCGAGGTGGCTCCAGCCTTCCCTGGTATAGCAGCCACTGCAGCTCTCTTCATCCTGCTGCTCTGTGCCCCATTCGACGTTGGCTTCATCCAAAAATGCAAATCCTGGGTGACTTTAGCTACAGAAGAGCGAGTAACAAACACCAGGTCGTGGGCAGCAATTGCTGTTTATAAATGGCTGAGCTGCTCACTGGTATAGACAGAGATGAGCTGAGCTGAGTAGTGGACACTGTCTTGTGGCTGAGCCACATTAGCCGTTATATTCTCTCATGTGCCTCCTGCAAACAAGGTCAAGTTTAGAATAACCTTCCAGACAAGCACACGCTATCGAAGTCAGTGCCATTCCCACCCTCTACGCCCCGTAATTTGGGTTCCTCTAAGAGTCTTTCTTTAACGTTGATAAGACGCTTTGCTGGCAAATTTCTTTCTCGATTTTTAGAAACAAATGTATGTACCTATGGAGACAGACAAATATGGATTTATTTTGCTTAAAAGTCATTGTTTTTTGGCAGTGTTTTCCGGGGGGCAATTCCTACATCCCAGGTCCGCTGGAAGAACTGAGGTGCAACCCAGCGTAGGGAAGGACTGCTTCTGGACCGCACCCGGAGGCAGCACCACCAGCAACGGAGCCCCGCCACCTGCTGTACCCGTCCACCTTCTCTGGTTGACCTCCCTGGGGCCAGACCGCCGAGGCAGAGTCCGTGCTCCCTCCTATGGAAGTGAGTTGTGTTTCCCGCAAAAAATGTTGAAGTTCTAACCCCCGGAACCTGTGAATATGACCTTATTTGTAAATAGGGTCTTTGCAGATGGATCGTGTGAAGATGAGGTCATCAGGGTAGGCTCTAATCCAGTATGACCTTGCCCTTAGATGAAGGAGCCGTGCCCACAGGCGTGCACACAGGGAGAACGCTGTGGGAACCTGTAGGTAGAGACTGGGGGTGCATCTACCAGCCAACGAACAGCCAGGATTGCCAGCAGTACCGGGAGGTTGCAGAGCGACACAGGCATCCTCCTTACCGCTCTCAGGAGAATCCAGCCCTGTAGATACCTGAACTTTCAGTTTCCAACCTCCAGACCTGGGAGACAGTAAAGCTCTGTTGTAACCCCCGGTGTGTGGTCCTTTGTGAGAGCAGCCCTAGGCCCCAACTCACTCCTACCGTACAGCTTTTACAATGAAGGTCCGGTTCTTCAGTTCCACACACTGTGCCCCACACAGGTCAAACATTTGAGTAACTCTCCAACCCCGACATGCCAGTCGGACCAAACTCTGTGCGCTTGTTGAACTGGGCCCTTCCTTTGAACACACTTCTCAGTTCTGCTTGGCTAGTTCCTACTTGTCTGCAAGATCGAGCTCATACACGGCGTCCTCTGGACAGCTTTCCCTGACCTTCAGGCCTGGCTGAAGGGCTGCGCTGTGTGTGTCCACAGCCTGCTGAGCATGCATCTACCACTGAATTTATTACACCTTCTTATGATAATTGATTGACTTCTCTGTCAGCCTCTGGAGACTAAGAGCTCCTTGAGGGCAAATATATTGAGTCTTCAGTGCCCACTATGAATGACCAGTTAACAAAATCCACTCCCTTAATGTGTACCTGTAGATACAAGGAATGGATTTAAAATTTAAACACAGAACAAGGAACCAACTGCCTATCCCAGTCTTTAGCATATGAATGCATGAGGTATAGATTATCCTACAAGCCGGAGGGAGAGGAATGAAAATCAAGGTGAACCACCACATCTTCAGCTTATTATATCTCCAACGAAATGAGAAGGATCCATATTTTTTCTACTTTTTCCCCCGAGCAGGAAAAGGATGCCTCCTGATTTTCATGATGCATCCCATAGAAAGTGACAGGTCTGTAAGGCACTTGTCTCTGTGGACGGAGGCAGAGCGCCCTAAGTGGGGATGATATGCTTCCTGATGCTGCAGTACCGGTTTAGCACCACAAGAGGGAGCCAAGAATGGCTGGACGGGTTGATTCACCCAATAAACCAAGTGATTTTGGCATCCAAGAGTTGAGAACATTCCTAAAACAGAAAATCTCAGAATACAAGAGCTGTTTTCCCAGTGATAGAAGATCCCTCCCCTGCCTCACCCTTTCTCCCTCCACCCCCAGTTCCCATATTGAATATTTTCAATCTTCAATAGGTTAAATATTGAAGATTGAAGATAGAATATTTTTCCATCTTCAGGCCAGTAGTCAAATAAGCATCTACAAAAGACGGAGCCACGCGGGGTTTACAAAAATCACCTGTATTCCAGCCAAAAGAGCTTTAAAAAGGAATCCCTGCTAAAGGGGGATGGGGGGACAAACTACGTAAGACACAATACATTTAAAATATGTATTGAAATTACAAATCAAACTTTTTCCATATAATTCCAGAATACAAAACACAACATTAAAAGGCATTCAAACAGCTCTTTTATACATCACAGTGTTAGTGGCACAAAATGAACTGACATTTCAAAAACACAAACCAAATCTGTTTTGATTTTGTTTTACCACCACTTGTCAAATACATAACGTATACATGTGCATGACTCATTCATGCATATTTTTACACAAGATTAAAATACACCCATAGTAAAGTGAGCAAGGAAGGAAAGAAAGGGCAGGCATGGGGCATGTAGCTACCCCTCACTGAAGGCTCCGGAATTGTGGAAGACAGAATTGCACAAATCAAAGGAAGGGCAAAGACCCTGGGTTTTTTAAACATCAAGACGGCATGCTCTCCTAGTTGTGAAGCATTAGCAAATAGATTTTAATGCAGGCCCCTTTGTTCCTTTTGGTGTTTTTGGTAATGCCGGTCATAATCCCTTCATTTTGTTTATTTTCATAAGGGCTTAGGTTAATTATCAGAAATAAACAAGCTTTGGTATTTTTTAAAGAGAACTTCATGAAGCTTTACACATGCAAAATGTTTTCCCTTGATGATCTCCTTGTGAATTATATATATACACAGGTGTGCTCACTAATAAATGAGAATCGGAGACACACACACAAAGCCCATCCTGGATCCTTTCAATCCCCTAATTTTTAAACACTACCAAGAAAAAATTTTCTCTTCTAAATTTGTAAAATGACTTCTAACTTCTGCAATATTAAATGAAAACAACAAACTCATCTTGAAGTAATTTTTGTACCTCTGATAGTCCCTTCCATGGGCCCTGTGTTCTAACCAGGAACTGGCATGCGTCCTAAACTGGTTTTATGGAATAATATGTCGTCAAGATCATTTGTTCCCCTTTAAGAAAATAGGCCAGGTGCGGTGGCTCAGGTCTGTAATCTCAGCACTTTGGGAGGCCGAGGTGGGCGGATCACTTGAGGTCAGGAGTTTGAGACTAGCCTGGCCAACATGGTGAAACGACGTCTTTACTGAAAATACAAAAATTAGCTGGGTGAGGTGGCGGGCACCTGTAATCCCATCTACTCGGGAGGCTGAGGCAGAATCGCTTGAACCTGGGAGGTGGAGGTTGCAGTGAGCCGAGATCGTGCCATTGTACTCCAGCCTGGGGGATAAGAGCAAAACTCCATCTAAAAAAAAAAAAAAGAAAAGGAAAGAAAGAAAGAAAGAAAAGGCCAGAGGTGGCAGATGTTGGTTCCTCTGTCCACAGCTACTCCTGTGAGTTGAGGAGGAAGAACTAATTTGGACAGTTATTCCTGCAATCCAGTGCTTCATCTCAGATCCTAATCAGTCTCTGCTATGTGGATATCTATGGTGACTGCATCTTTGCAAGGTGCTGGCCTCCTGTGAGGGTGCAAACTCATCTGGCTGGGCTATGGACTACACAGCAGAGCCAGACCAAGAGATCAGGCATGTCCAGCAAAAGCTCCAAATGTGGTCAGTAACTCAAGGGCCTCAGATAAGCCACAGGTTCACTGGGCTATGGCCAGTCCTCACTGGCCACGCCACCTGGGCAGCAGTACAGCAGCCGTGGTTGTCTAAGGGCCTTCGCCCCTTACTCCCCAGGATTCAAGGCCTCTTAGTGAACACATGCCATGTGCTTCCAGGGCTTTGCAGTGAACACCGTCTGTAAGAGTGAATGCCATTTTTCAATTGAGACAAATTATGCCGCTTCATGGGAGTAAGTCCATCCACTCAACGCAGAACTCCCCAGGTGTTACTGGGGGGTGATGGCAAGACCAAAGTCCAAACCCAGGGCCATCTGCCCGTGTGCTATTTACATTTTACATCAAGCAGGGTTAATACTGTATTCCCAGCAAAGATGAGTCTGGCATTCCTTACTAAAACAGAAGGAAATGCGAGTTCATGTATCTCAGAGTGGTCTTGCTGGTATCTATATAGGAAATGGACAATTTTAATTTTGTCACGAGATCAAAATGAGCAAACTGAGGCCTGCTTCATACAAAAAGTCAGAGCCAGTAGGTGCTAATGTGGCCACCCCTGGCCGGCCCCAGAATCTCTGTGGTCCCATCTGGGTTGAACTACGTGCTCGTGAAACACATCAGAGGTGAAGGCACGAGGATGGCTGGGCTACAGATGTGCATGACTGGGCCAGAGACTCCTCCAAGAGAACAGCCTGTCGCTCTAGAAATAAGGTCATCTGCGCTCTAGCCCTGGGGATGCAGACTTTCCAAAGGCTCTGACTCTCATCCCCAGGATGGGGGTGCTACTGTGTGGGCTCATGCGATGGGCAGCAGCAATTTCAGGCAAGAAGGACAAGCATATGGTGGACACTGGGCCACAGGCCTCCCATGTGTGCTGGGCAGTTTAAAGGGCAGTGACTGGACAGCTGCATCCACATATCACAGGCTGAGGGCTCAAGCCCAGCCAATGACTCCTGCATGGAGTTGCCACCCACCTCCAGAAAAGCTATTCTACCAGTAGACACCATCACAGCACCACAAACTACAGAGAGCCACAGCCCAGGTTTCATCCAGAAAGGGAGTCACAGGCATGTTCTTATTGAGTTACTAAACTTACAAATCGCAATTACAAGGAGAGCGTTTTGAATGTAATTTTGACACACAGGGATTTTCTAAATGGCTTCAGTGTCATAAGGAAAATCAACATGTGAGGTGAAGAGTGATGTGATGCTGTTTCTTCTAGCGAATTCATTGTTAGGAAATAAGAAATAAATCTCCAACCAGGGAAGGTAAACTAGGACCTGAGACTGATACTCAGATGCAGAAGTCACACACACACAAAGCAGCATTTTTAAAATGTGCTTGTGATGAGCAAATAACTGAGATCAAAGGATTTTGTTTTTGTTTTACTTCTTTATAGAATGTTTAACAAGATGTTTTAAATCCCACTGTAATATATCTATAATATTTGTCTGTTATTTTTAGAAGTTTTCAGTTCAATGCAGTTTGCTTTGCAAAAGCACCTGTGGCTTTTAGAAGTAAATTCTCTTTAAAGAATACACTTTCTCCACTTTTCAAAGTCAGCCGGTGGAGTCATGTGTGTGAAATGTATAACTTGGAGTAATGGTGGAGTAATGTATAACTTCTTCTCCTTATTAATCCCTGCATCCTGCTGCCATGGAAACGGTCACAGACAGCCCTGTGAAAGATCAAGTGGTAAAATCCCCACAGTAAAACTAAGTGAAATGGGAGGTTCTTTTCCCCAACAAGAGCAAAACGGTTAGCAACAGGACTTGGAACCGTGTAAGATATATGATTTCTCAAAATGACTAGAGCATTTTAAAAACGTGAAGATCTGGCAGGCTCTTCCTTAGCCCCCAGAGTTCTCCAGCCTCTGCCAAGAGGCCCTACCTCTGCGGATCAATAAGGCTGCTTTCTTCTCACTGTCTACCTGAAGACTTAGGCCACAGGCCAGACAGCAACAATTTGGAGGAGAGCCATTTCCGAGCAAAGCGGTTGGACTGAATACAATAAAAGGCGTTTTCTGCTACCTGGGAGAGAAGGGATGAGACCCTTGAGCTGAGCTGAATCACCAAAGAGAGAAAACAACAAAAAGCAAATCTAATGGAGATGAGATGTTCCTCTAAACATGTCAATATTATCAAGGAAATGCAACAATATAGGAACCACATTGATAACAGTACATAGCTTACAGCGTTCAAAAAGTTATTACAGCAAGTTTCAAGAAAAACACAAAGAGTGCATAAGGCTTTCTAAATCTCCTGAAAAGTCGTTTTAACTATAACTTCTTAAAATGCACATTTCAAGAAAGGCATAGGATGGTTTATATGCACCTTGTTGATTTTCACTACTCAGTTGGAAAAAAAATACCTTCTAAAAAGGATTTTACTAAATGCCATTAGTAATAAAAACAGTTGTCATAAACAGAGTGCTTTTCTCAAGCTGGAGTAATCAGATTCTGTCTGAAGAGAGTCACAATCCTTAAAAGACTTCTCCAGCAACATGGAGCCATCTAGAAGCCAAGGAGGAGAAAGTCTCTTAGGCCATCCCCAGACATGCCTAATCTACCACAGAGAGAAAGCTGCCTGGTGCGCCTCCCTGTCATCTGCAGAGATTGATCTGTGGGGATGTGCCCTACCCACACCTGCCTCCCCCTCCCCAAACCTAGGTGACCACACCTGGGGCCTCAGCGAACGTTGTGACATAGGTCCCTGAAATCACGGCGTCCAGCCTGACACTGTGAAGCTCAATGGGGCACATAAGGCAAGAAAGATGTTTAGTGAGAGGGGGACGGTGGGGAGGGTTGGGGGAGAGCCACGCTTCCCGGAGGCAGGGATTTGTTCCAGCATCGTGCTTCCTCTAGGTGGGTAACGGGTCGTCATCACCTTTACTGCACTTGCACTTGCAGCAAAGTACAAAGGGAGTGGCCAGGAGCAGGAAAGGCGAGGCCACCAAGAGCAGGAGCCCAAATCCAGCAAAAATGCCCACGACCTGGAAGAAGGAAACAAAGGGGTAAAGGTAAGGAGGGCTGGCCTGTAGGTTCCAGAGCTAACGTGTAAACCACACAACCACCTACCTATCCATCCATCCATCCATCCATCCATCCACCCACCCATCCATCTATCCATCCATCCATCTACCCATCTAGCCATCATCTACCCATTCATCCATTAACCATCATCCATCTCTCTATCTATTCATCCACCTACCCATCCATCTACTCATCCACCCATCCATCTACTCATCCATCCAACCATCCACCCACCCATCAATACCGAGACATCATCCACCCATCTATCCATCTAACCATTTTCCATCTATCCATCCACTCCCATCCATCTATCCATCCATCCATCTACCCATCCATCCATCTATCCATCCATCCATCTACCCATCTAGCCATCATCTACCCATTCATCAATTAACCATCATCCATCTCTCTATCCATCCATCCACCTACCCATCCATCTATCTACTCATCCACCCATCCAACTATTCATCCATCCAACCATCCACCCACCCATCAATACCTACCCATCATCTACCCATCTATCCATCTAACCATTATCCATCTATCCATCCATTCCCATTCATCTATCCTTCCATCCATCTTCCATCCCTCCATCCATTCACCCATCCACCTACTCATATACCCATCTATTTATTCATCCACCTATCCACCCATCCACCCACCCATCCACCCATCTATCCACCTAACCATTATCCATATATCCATCCACTCCCATCCATCTATCCATCCATCCATCATTCATCCATCCATCCATCCACCCATTCATCCATCCACCCACTCACCCACCCATCTATTTGTTCATCCACCTATCCACCCATCCACCTATCCATCCACCCATCTATCCATCTAACCATCATCCATCTGCCCATCAATTCACCAATCTTCACCCTTCCATTCATACACCCTGATCTACCCATCCACACATTCATCTGCCCACTATATATCCATCAACCCACTATAATATTCTTCCCTTCATTTTTCCCTCATTCTTCTTTTCCACCTCTTCTTTTCCCTTCCTTCTCGCTCTCTCCACCTTTTTCCATCTAAACACCCAAACATCCATACATCTATATATCCAATTAACTAACAAGTTTCCTCTCAGCAGCCACCCTGCTCCAGACAATGCACTTGATGCTGCAAATACAGAAGTGCATACATCCTGGCCCTCGAGGAACACCCTGTCTGGCAGAAAAAGACCAAGATCTAATCAACTGATAACAAGACATTCTACAGAAACTGTCATCAGGTTCCAGGGGTGCAGCCCCCCACACCCCTGCCATGTGACTGACAGACACCATTTGCTAGGGGAACGGAGGGTTTCCAGTGGCAGGTGGCTGAGATAACGGAGACAAGCAGGTTGTTACTACAGAAGAAAGACTGGAATAGTTCATTTCCGACGAGAAAACAGAAAAGACACAGGCGTAGTGCGTCAGAGAATGACCTGGCCCCCGTCCTTCCTAGAGTTTAAAGCCCAATATTGACTGTTACGTATTTTGATTTTTGTTTGAAAACATGTTTATCCCTAGTTATGAGTAAAGGCCAAAAGAAATAACCTCATATGCAGACATGCCATCATCTGAGTCAGGCGGCACGGCTGGTCAAAGAGGGACAGAGCCTGCTGTCCAGCCAGCCTCGCCATTCGCAGAATCCCAACCCAGGCACGCAGCCTGCAGAACTGAGACGGAAGACAGGGCTAGACCGCCACCTAGTGTTCAGTGTGACCAGTAAATGCAAGCACCAGCACATGGTTCTCATTCCAACTCAGCCTTCATTCACTTCTCCCTGGGTCTGTTTTCTCATCTATAAAATAAACAATGGAAGCAAAAGACCTTAATGGGCCATTATCAGCCCTAAAATATGAGACTCTACTAAAGCATCCCAGATGTGTGGAAGAAAGTACACCTCGGCTGAGATTTCTCCTGAAAACCAACACACACAGGTACGTGCATGCATTTATAAACTAGACTGCATTTAATAAATTGTGTCACGTTGCATTTATCCATTAGACTGTGCTAATACTGGGAATCCACGCTTGCCGCCCAGTTGGCTACGTTCATTTGTCTGAACAACATATCGACGGTGGAATTACCCAGTGTGAATTCAGGTCGTGCTTTACTGAAATCATGTGCACGCTGATATGCAGAATGCATACAACATGCAGTAAGCTCTACTTTATTTGAAGGGCAATTTGGAGCAATCTCGACTACCTGACACACAACTGTCAGTCTCGAAGGAGCCACACATTCTTTGCAGTCAAAATCATGCCAAAATCCCGGACCAAATGATCACATTCTTGGCCAATCACACACCGTCTTCGCTTTTCACTCGGTCCACCTCGTGTCGAAATCTGCCTGCTGTTTGAGAAGTTGGTCACCCAGCGTATTGCCAATGGGTGACAGGCATATGCAGGTATTGCCAGAGTTATGCAGCCAAGCAGTGAAAAAAATGAGACAGGAAGCAAACATCACAAAACAGAAAGAATCACTGTGTGTGTGTGTGTGTGTGTGTGTGCTGTGGATGTGTGTCAGATACTTGCTCAGAGAAGGCAGACGGACGGGGAAACAGTTTCAGGCTCCAGAGAGAATCTGTACAGTACAGCTTCGTTCGTACTGGCAAACCCTAAGATTTAAAGGAACAGTTACCCCTTTCCATGAAGTTTCTTAGCTGTATGCTACCTAAAGCCAGAACACCCTTTCTACAAACCATTGTAAGTTCCCATGCACAGCCCGGCACTCTCATAATAAATGTCCGACCCAGATTCATGGGATGAGCCAGTTGAAAATAAACTGACCATGTTCTGAACGGTTTCCCCAGAGAATTCTTCTACAAACCACATTCAAGGGCTTGGAAAAACTAAGCCAAAATCTGAGATCTGGTAAGTGAATGGAACACTATTAATGTACTGAAACTAGGTACCTGAAGGTGGCACAGACAAGTTCAGAATCACAGTATCATATTTGATCCCTAGATTATAATCCAGACTGATTGTCTCATTTCACAGATGCAAAATCTATACCCAAAAAGCTATTCCAGAGGTCCAATATTTGTTTAAAACAGACAGAGCTGAGCATCCTGGTATAAGTACAAGAGATAGATCGTGCATATTTCACTGATCTCAGCGGGAAATACCCTTAGAACAGTCACTGCATATGGTTTCCAGAACACAAGCATTTCTGGAAGGAACGCCTGGCCCTTCAGCTCAGCCTCTGAAACTATCACTTTGCGCCCCTCCACGGATGTGTGTGAACACAGACCAGTTATTAGCTGGCTTTAGTAAATGCCATCCTATGGCTAAAAATGAGCTCTTTATCGGAGGCGGACTGGGGTAAAGCAAGTTTCCTTTCACTTCTCAGAAGAGAAGAAAGAGCTGGTTTGGGGTAAGATTCTCCCTTGTCAGATGCTGATGTCCTAAGGAAGTAAGGTTACTCCAGTGAAAATGAAACGCTCCTCCACATGATGGCTGATTTCTGGGATAGCGCTGGAAAAAGGCCGGCAAGCACTTCATGCAGTCGTGAGTACAGCGAATGTACAAGAGAGCAGATGGACAGGGCACAGGTGTGGCTCACAGCACCCACGCTCACTCCAGCAACTGCACAGTCAGTTCCCCGTGAGATATCTGCCCACCCTGCAGCCTTCGCGGCCACTCCGCTGGTTCTCATGCTCGTTTGCTTCAACAGAAGACTCTGCTATACTGAATAAAAAATGTATCACTTGGGATGAAACAAACTGTACAATAACTTGGTGCAACAAAGACAATTCTTCCTTTACAGCACTTGTTCCAAAGGTCCAATTGACAAAAGCGCCAGGTAAGATACAGGGGGCATACAAAACCCCTGCTCCCATACAAATAATGAAAGCAGCCTGCGATCTCAAGGAGACACGTTGGATTTCCCCCAAATCTCTTAGAATAATCTTACTGAGCTTCACATCTAAAGGCAGGAAGAACTGAGGAGAAGGAACCTTTCAAAATGACCCTGAACGTTGCGGGAATCACAGGACACTGAACTCAGGGCATGTTCTGAGTGCTCCTGAGGTGTGAGTTGAGCAAGCCCCTGTGTGACGGAGAAACGTTTCCCCAGGGAGCCTACGAAACCCAACGCAGGCAAGAAGTTCCAAACCACGGCAGGGTCAGTGACAGAGGGTGGCCCGGCTGACCCATTTGTAGGATGGTAAAGCAATGTGGTGGGCCAAGACGACGACTTTAGCAAACAGAGCAGAACAGAAAATGCAGGAGCACAGAGTGGGTAAGTTATGTCGATGCAGGTGTGCGCAGGGATCTATAGGGTTTACAAGGCACCATGCCTGGTACATGTCTCCCTGGGGGCTACAACCAAGTAAGATTCTAAAGACGCTGCTCAGCACGTGCTGTGGCCTGGGCTGGTTAGAGACAGGTAAGGAGAGAAGCAGGAGCTGGAGCAGAGCCTTAAAAACGGACGGGAGGGATATAGATTGACAGGGAGAAGGAACAGAACAGGGAAAGAGAGAGACACAGGAGTGGAGAAGGCAGAACAGCAGGCCAGCCTGAGCAGGCAGGGCTCCTCCGAGGCCACAAGGCTGGCAGATTCTGCTTTGTAGAGATGAAGATGACAAGGGAGGCCAAATGTGGAGGACCAAGAGTGTCAGCAGAAGTCTTCAGGTTATGCCCCGTCTGAGCGTTTGATTCTGCTGCTCTAAAACCTTCTGTGGCTCCCTAGTGCCACACAGACTTAAGTCTACAGCATGATGCCACACCCTCTCCAAGTCCAATCACTACTCTGCCCCTAACTTCCCATCAGCTGCACTCCCGAAGGCTCCCCGGCCGGCCCCGCAGTGTCCCATTCTGTGCCTCTGCTCACACTGTCCTCTCCTCCTTCAAAGCACTTTCAGCAGCATCCAGCATTTAGGACCTTTATGGTCTGATTTAGGTGCCACTCATTTCATACTATTTTTCTCGAATATTCCAGCTTGCTGAATTATCAACAAGAAATAAGTCTTGGCTTCTCATGTCTCACCCTGCCTTGCGATCTTCCAAGTTTCCTACAGCCTGGCAGGTTGGCAGGTGCACGTGCCACAAGGGCACCTCGTGCTGCCCGGTTTCCTTCCCAGCACTGCACTTGGCAGCGTGCTCAGTGCCGTAGCAGCCCGGAGGAAGGACAGGGCAAGGGAGATGCCGGAAGCCCGAAAACAGGCAGGAGGTGGCAGAAGCGAGCTCTTCACATGGACTTGTTTCCAAAAGGCAGACAGAGAAGAGTGCGAGCAAAGCCAGGGCTCCTAAGCAGGGTGGGCGTCCCCTCAAACGCTGCACGCCGTCGCTTGCTGCACCTTGGCACCCCTGCCTGCTCTGCTTCCCCGAACACTATCGCTCCAGGTCCCACTGCACTTTTGTAAACTGGAACTTCTTCTTTTTGAGACAGAGTCTTGCTCTGTTGCCCAGGCTGGAGTGCAGTGGCACGATCTTGGATCACTGCAACCTCTGCCTTCAAAGAAAGGAAGAACTGTTAGGTGTCATTAGAGAGGGGGTATTACTCCTGTCCCTCCCTAAGAGAAACAAAAAAAGTTCTTCCTGTCTTTGCATGGGGACGAACAAGCTACAAGTCATCCACTTCCACCTTCTCCTCAGCAGGAGCAGAATCAGAAACTAAAGCAGCTGTCATGGTCCTGGGACAGGGACACAGCAACCCTTAGCTCCCTGCCCAGCCCCAGTGAAGTTCTCCATGTGTAGAAAGCTGCTGAAGGCATGACGACCACTGGCCCTGTGGAGAGGACTGCGAGTCAACACCCACGGCCAAATGGGTCATTCACGATTTTGCCCGTGCACTACTTCCAAAGATCATTGTGTCCCAGGCACAGGACTGGTGCCAAAGAGGTTACAAAGACGAGCAAAACAGGTCTCTGCTCTCGAGAGCACTTTTTTGTATCCTAAGAGATCAGACACAGATGAGCACTGGGCTGTGACCAGAGTAGGGTGGGCCATGTGGGGGGAGGGGCTTCCTGCATGACAACCAGGCACAAGTGACTTCGCGGAGGTCACACCTGGACTGGGTCACAGAGAGGGCTGGAGTGTGGATGTGCAGAGCTGGGCAGGAACAGGAGAAGCAGAGGAAGACAGTGATGAAGACCAAGGTGGCAGCAACAGCCGGGGCAAAGCAGAGAGGCAGGGAGAGCACGGGCGCTGCACGTCACAGAAGTTCAGAGTGAGCCTGGGGGAGCGGGGAAGATGTGGCCGCCAAGACCCGTGCTCAGGCTGTCCCAGCTACTCAGAGCACTGGGCCTTTGGCAGCTCCTGGGCACGATGGCGTGAGGATATCCGACTGCCAGCCCCAGCTGAGGCCCCAGCCAGCAGCCAGATCAAGCACCAGAAGCATGGGGTGCGGGCCTGCAGGGGCTCCTGCCCGGCTTCAGAGCTGCCCCAGCTGACGCCACCTGGGCCGCACGTGGGCTGCCTTGGCTGAGCCCTGTTCACACCGCAGATTCCAGAGCAAAATACATATGAGGATGGTCAGCCTGAGTATGTGAGAGGCTTAGCACCCAGCAACAGCCAGCCAGGGTCCCTGTGGAAAGCACTCGCTCTCACCCGGAACTCACCTTCTCTACAGGGAAACTGCCAGAGTTGGGAAATGGTTTCCAAGTTCTCACCAAGCTGTGACTCAGTTTCTGCCAACGTACACACAACAGCATCCACTCACACGGTGGCTGGGCAAATGCCGGCCACCCTGAGTCAGCACCCAGTCAACCCCTACCTACAGCCCAGGGCAAACCAAGTGCAGGGGAGGAACGCAGCCTCGTGGCAGTTTCTGTGCTGTGTGGGGAGGTGGGCATAGGTGTCGTCATGGGTTGAATCGTGTCCTCCCAAAACAGTATGTTGAAGTTCTAGCCCCTAGTATCTCAGAATGTGACCTTCTTTGGAAACAGGGTATCTGCAGATGCGATCAAGTTACCACGTGGTGATTAGCACGGGCCTCAATCCCATACCGCTGATGTCCTGATACAAAGGGGGGATTTGGACACTGACGGAAGACGAGGTGAAGACGCACAGGGAAGAGGCAGCCGGAGGAAGACGGAGGATTGCAGCGATGCATTGATCTGTCCAGGAATGCCATAGATGGCTGGCAAACCACAGAAGCTGGAGGCGGCCAGGAGGGACTCTCCTGCAGGTTTCAGACCAGGCAGGGCCCTGCTGACACCTTGATTTCAGAATTCGGACCTCCAGGACTGAGCCAATATGTTTCTGCTGTTCTGAGCCACCCAGTCTGCAGTGCTTTGTCACAGCAGCCAGAGCAGATCTGGAAGGGGTGTGGATTCAAGCCATGCAAGGCCAAGGGCAGAGAAAACAGTCAGAGGAGCTCAAACCAACCTTCTAGACCAGAGGGCAGCACGCCACGGCCCTTGGGTCAAATCCGGCTTCATCATCTGTTTCTGTTTTGTTTATCCATACAGCTTTACTGGGACATAATTCCCGTACCACGCAATTCAGATATTTAAAGTACACATTCAATGGTTTCCAGTGTGTTCACAGAGTTACGCAACCATCGCCACAGTCACTTCCACCTGCCTGTGTAAACAGTTTCACTGGAACACAGCCAAGGTAACTCACTGACGTCCTGTCGGCTGCTTCTGTGCTGCCAGGTGGAGCTGACAGTTGCAGCAGAGACCTACGGCCTGCGAGGCCAAGCATGCTCAGCATCTGCTCTTTGATGGGAGGCGTGTCTTATCCCCCGCTGCGGACGCCCACACGCTTTGCCACGTGGTTGGCATTTGAGGCTGTGCAGGAAGTGCCGTTGTAGGTGGACCTTTCCCTCATCCTGGCAACTGCCTTGAGACTGAGCTTCTCCATCTTTTAGATGAGGCTGACACACCTGCCTCAGAGGCTCTCCTGAGAAATGTCGTGAATGAGTCACAGACTTGAGCCCTTCATGCCTCGAGAAGCAGGCAGGGAGCAGCAGCCAACATGCCTCCTGCTGCTAATCCCTCAGCAGCTTCCCACAAACCCAGCACAAGATCCAGGGTTGCTCTGTGGCCTGCCAAGCCCTAAAAGGGTCTGTCCCTGTCATCATCTCTGACCACCTCCCCATCACATCACCTCTAACTGATTTAGTCATCATCTCTGACCACCTCCCCATCACATCACCTCTAGCTGATTTAGTCATCATCTCTGACCACCTCCCCATCACATCACCTCTAACTGATTTAGTCATCATCTCTGACCACCTCCCCATCACATCACCTCTAACTGATTTAGTCATCATCTCTGACCACCTCCCCATCACATCACCTCTAACTGATTTATTAGGTTCTGTGTGCTTGCTGGTTTATCATCTCTGTCTCTAAACAGAACGTAGGCTCCGTAGAAGGACGTATCTGTCTCATGCACCACTGTATCTCCAGTTCCTAGAGCAGTACCCAGTGCACAGTAGGTGATAAATATGTGTTGAAAGCACACGTTAATATTAAGCAACACGAGGGTCCTTTATCAACTCCAAAGGCTGCACAGGCATTACTACCTAGGGCCAGGGTCCCCAACCCCTGGGCCATGGACTGGTAGTGGTCTGTGGCCTGTTAGGAACCAGGGTGCACAGCAGGAGTGAGCAGTGGGGGGTGGGCGGAGCAAATGAGCAAAGCTTCATCTGTATTTACAGCTGCTCCCCATCGCTCACGTTACCGCCTGAGCCCCACTTCCTGTCAGATCAGCGGCAGCATTAGCTTCTCATAGGAGCACAAACCCTGTTGTGAACTGCTGATGCTAGGGATCTAGGTTGCACATTTCTTTTATGAGAATCTAATGCCTGATGATCTGTCTCTGTCTCCCATCACCCCCAGATGGGACCATCTAGTTACAGGAAAGCAAGCTCAGGGCTCCCACTGATTCCACATGATGGTGAGTTATAGAATTGTTTCATCATATATTACAATGTAATCATGACATACATAAAGTGCACAATAAATGCAACGTGGTGAATCATCCCAAATCCGTCCCCCTGCCCAGTCTGTGGAAAAACTGCCTTCCACAAAGTGAGTCCCTGGTGCCAAAAAGGTTGGGGACCACTGACCTAGGAATTTTTCCACTCCTTCCTTGTTATCCATTCCTGTTACTCCCTTGCTTATCTCAGGGCCTCAAGAGAAAGCTCTTTGTTAAGTGCTAGGCAAGGATTACCTAAACATGGTCAGTAGATCATGACCAAGGCCATGAGTCCCATGCAAGCGATCTGAAGTCTGATGCTGAAGGCCCATCAGACAACGAATGTGATGCACGTTGACACTAACTTTGGGCCAGGGCTTCCATCAGGATAACCCTATACCAGCAAAAACCCAGCAGGAAGCACATCTACTAGCTCTTTCTATCCAGGAGACCTTTGTCCTATAGGCAAGTGTGGAAACACTAAAGATACACACACACACACACACACACACAGAGTCTCTCTCTGTCTGAGATCAAAGTTCTAGGTGAATCACCTCCTACCTGTGTCCGATGCCAGATCACAGATGCCCGGGAGTGGCCCAGCTTGTTCCGGCAGGGTCCCTTATCATAGTGTATCAGAAGGAAATCATCCTGTGAGGGGCAGAGACAGAGACAGCGTGAACGAGCGGTCCCTGCTCAGTTCGGTGTGTATCACGGCCATTGATATACTTCTTCTCCTACGCTCACGATAAGTGGAGACATGAGGGAGGTGACACAGGGAAGGGCGCGCACCCGGGAACACCTGGCCACAGTCACCGCAGGCCCAGGCTGCTCCTCCCCAGGGCCTCCTTTCATCACCCAGTAGCCCTGGACAGCACCGCTTCGGGCTCTAGAGGGAGCTTTGGAGCACACTTCAGGCCCAGCCCAAAGAAGGGCCTCCCAGGCACAGTGGCTGGCTTCTGAGCTTGTGGGAAAGAAGGGATCTTGTGGGAACACAGGGCTACTGAACACGCAGGTCACGGTTGCTCCAAAGAGCTCCTGCTGGCCCCGGCTGTGTGTAATTCCACCAGAGTCCCTCTGCCCTGGCGTCTTCCTGCTGCAGTGACAGGGCTATTCCCGGGATTGGATGATTTTCTTTGTTGCTGGCCCATCCCCCTCCGTCGGGTCAGGCTTCTCACCTAGAAAGTGCTTCCTCTCCACTCAGGCCACTCGATTTTCCTCATGATTCAAGATCCAGCCCGGGAAGCACTTTCTATCTGCATCTTCTCAGACCATCCTGAGTGGGCAGCGGCCCTCTGCACTCCGGGCACGCCTGCAGACGCCTCCCTCCAGGCGTCCTCCACCTCACCTCCATCTCCTGGAGCTGGGACCCTCACACAAGTTGCTCTCTCCGTGTTCCCCAGCTCAGCGCTTGGCACCCAGATCTCAACGACTACCCACGGGCATGAGGGGAACGGCATGTCTATACCCAGCCCTCTGCGCCTCCAGGACCGGGAGGCGCCGTTTTCAATCCTGATCAGTGAAGGAGATGGTGAGGCACATGGCACCAGGGAGGCTCAAGCCTGCTGATTCATTCAAGGAGGCTGTAAAATGACAGCTGCTTTTTCAGAAAAGAGCAAATAAACACAGGGCCCAGTGTGCCTCAGGGAACAGGAAGTCACTCTTACAAAAAACAGGAGGAGCAGGACAGGGGTCACGACCTTCTGCTCCTTTCAATCAACTCTGGTAAGATAGTTTGGGGGATGCATCCGGCCTTCCTCTCCTTGTGGGGAGGACACCAGCTTTGAGTTTGCTGATTTTTGGGGTCAGGCCTCCTGGTGTCTGAACGTACAGTGAATGGAGAGCCATCAAATCCTGGCTGTTACAGGTGCAGTAGCAGGAGGCTTTGGCTGGGGCCTGGGGTCCCAGCTACCACTGTCCGCCTCGCTTCTGTACCTAGACGCCTCATCTGTGAGAGGAAGGGCAGGAACAGGCAAACACAAAGTCACTCTGGCCACACCTTTCTCTTCCACGATGCTATTTCTGTCCACCTCCATCACTGTGAGCTTTCTCCTCCTTGAACTCTTAACCGAAATTTCCTTTGTGATGATGTTAATTCACACACCACTGAGATGAGCTCATTCTCCATTTGTACGCCTCCATTTTCCAGACTGCCTCGCGCCGTGTCTGGCACTGTGGGCTCTTTAAACGGTTTTGAATTTAAACGTTTCTGAAACGCAACTTAAACATTTCTGAAACTCAAACCAAATCCTGTGTGCTACCCAGTTGAGAAGTGGTTACTGACCTCTGCCAGCAGACACGGACAAGCCTGGCTGCACATCCGAGTCACCTGGGCAGCTTTTGGAAGCTGAAGATGCTGACTCCAAGGTCTGAGGCAGGGCCCAGTCCTCAAGCTCCCTAAGTGATTCTGATCCATCCTATCCTTGGGAAGCGCAGGCCTCTGCGGGGGCCAGGCCTCTGATCTTGGTACACAGGGGCCGTCGTCTGGGCTTCACCTTATCTTTCCGGCATCTCTGGCCAGGCCACGTATGAGTTCACATCCTCCTTCATCGTGCCCAGGTCTTTGGTGGTAACCTGGCTCAGCACATTCTGTCCTCCCTGGTGAACAAACTCACTCAGCCTTCAAGTCCTCAGCTACCCCGTGGCCCCGAGACCCAGTCACCTCCTGACTCCTCCTTGGGGCCGACAGGGACTTTATACCCTTAGCCATGCAGCCTCCTTCATAGCCTTGTGTCCGGATCATGCCTTACGGGGCTCCTCTGGGAGATGACGAGCTCCTCAAGGTCAAGAACTTCACCCCCCACCCCCATCCCCGCCCTCATCTCACCAGACCCACATGGGGTCCAACGGAGCAGAGTTGCTGACACGCAGTCAGATTTCATGAACAAAATGAATGCTTATTTAAAAAGCACTTTTCTTATCCCCTGATAAAAGCACTCAAATATGGTTTCACAATATAGAAATGATTGACTTGTGATTTTTAATTTCCTGATGAAGCCCTGGGGCTTAGCAATCCCAGGAGCAGCAGGAACGGGGATCTATTTCTGTGGCAGGGAATACTTTCCTCCTATTGTTCAGAGAGAAGTTCCATTCACCTCCAGGGTCAGACGAAACAATGGTGCATGCTCCGGGAAGCTGCAGTCAGGGAGAGGGCTGGTGAAAGCGCAAATGCCCCAGAGCAATGCTAGCCCCTTCAGCTTTAAAACGTCCACTCGAACTTTGCCTTGACACAGCCTGATCTAACACAAAGATGTGGTTTTTAGAGTTTGAAAGATCAGGGCTGGTTCCCTTCCTTACTAGTTTGAGAAAGATAAACCTCTCTGGCCTTCCTCATTCCAACTCACTGAAATGCTGTGTGTGTTAAGGGAAGCAGGTATCCAGAGCAAATTGTATAATGCTGATCTGGAACAATCACCTCAATAAACATCAACTATCTACTGCCAAAAAATACATAAAAGAAAGAAACGGCACATGTCCCTTTCTGCAGTAAACAGCAAACATTGGGCCAGCACTGATCGCTGAGAAGCAGTGAGGATTCAAGGGGAGATGGGCTCGGCCAGGGGCAGATGAGGAGAGGGAAGCAGGGGAGAAGAGGGAGTAAGGACCATGATAGGGAGGAGGCGGTCTGAAATATTCATAACTCCTGGATGTCTGCATGTGCCAGAAAGCACGCTTGGGGGAAACAGGAGAGAAAAGCTCCGTGGAAAGCCCTCCTCCCTCCTCTGAGTGCTCTTGGCTGGCTTCAGGCAGCGCATTTCTATGCTTGTCCTAAATCACTGTTAATGTCTTCGGTAAAGGGCTCCAACAGCAGACTCCCCTTCCTTCACATCCGCTTCCTCTGGCCACAGGGTCATTTTTCTTCATGTACAAAGAAAACATAGGAAACTCTGCACGGTCATGAGGATGATGCCTCTGATGGAGGCAAAGCACAGCCTGGTTCCTCTCCATCCGCAAGAGGCGGAACCTGCTTTAGGGTGGAGCTGGACAGGGAGGGCCTTCCTCAGCGACTAGAGCAGAGAAGACACACTCCTGTGCTGGAAGGAGAAAAACAGCAGCTTCCCTCCTCGTCCCTGTCACTCGGTCCAAGCAGCCTGAGGAAACCAAACTTCTGTCAGTCCCTTTCTAACGCAGCTCCTAAATGACCCGCAAGGGGCTCTGTGACAAGGGGCAGGAAATCTGACATTTCACTTTCTTCCTTCTTTAAGGAAAGTTACAAAGAAAAATAAATTGTGGGCCAGATATTAGATATTATATCATAACTCAATGATCAGTTTTCAAAAAAAAAAAAAAAACTGGAATACAGTAAAATGCATAAATAAATAAATAAATAAATAAGACCTTGAAGGCCCTAAAAAATTTGGTAAGGCTTCAGATGAGGACTTGAGCTAAAGAAAACTCATCTTGTCACCCGGATTCATTAAGCTTGCCTAGGAAGTAAAAATGAAGCCTCAGGATAGAAGATGGTGATATTTTACCCAGATTTGGTCAGCCACATCAGATTCTACTATTAATTTAGTAATTTAAAATTCATAAAGAGACAACAGGCCTTTCAAAGGAACAATTCCAAAAGCAGCAATCTAATTTTTTAAGGTAGCCTTTATATTACAGACCTGTTATCATACGTAGTAATATTCCATCTCAAAGAGACACTCATTTTCTTCTAGACAAATCTCTCAGCCTGTGCTTCATTCCACTTTGCCCATTGGTCTGAACCACTTCTCCTTTACCTTGGAAGCCAGAGGTAACCCATCTCAGCCACTGGGTGCCACGTTGAACGGCTCTGAGATAGCCCCATGGTATGAACGCTTGCCCAGAAACACTGGTAAGAAAGAACAGTCTCTGGACAGAAGAACTGCTAACATGGGAAGCATGGACTTGTTCTGACTGCCACACACTCCCATAACCCGCTTTATCTGAATGAGACCTGAATGGCTTAATACTATTATTGGATGGACTGGATACATTCATCCTTGCTGTGCAGAACAGACATAAATATATCCCTTCATGACACACGACTTCATTTGCTTGGACTGTCCTAGCTACAATGGTTTCAATAGATAAGTAGGTCTGCTATTTAATTACAGTTTTATTTATTTATTTTTATTTTTTGAGATGGAGTCTTGCTCTGTTGCCCAGGCTGGAGTGCAGTGGTGCAATCTCAGCTCACTGTAACCTGAGCCTCCCAGGTTCAAGCAATTCTTGTGCCTCAGTCTCCCATGTAGCTAGGACTACCAGTGCATGCCACCATTGTATTTTTAGTAGAAACAGGGTTTCACTATGTTGCCTAGGCTGGTCTCGAACTCCCGACCTCAGATCATCTGACCACCTAGGCCTCCCAAAGTGCTGGGAATGCAGGCCTGAGCCACCATGCCCTGCCTAATTATAGTTCCTTTAAAAGTATGCACCAATAAACTCTTCTAAACTAAAATCATAGCTTCATCATTTTGGCAAGATGCCCACGCCCTAATATGGGCAAGGAAGGAGAATGAGAAGTGAAATAGCAGCAACCTGTGCATCAGGCCTCAAAGCTCCAGAAAAGCGTGGGCCTGGAAGGTTGTGCCTTCCTGTCAGGGACATGGCTCTTGCAGGCATACACAGAGTGGTGTGTCTGAGACACATTCAGGCAGAGCACACGTGGGAGAAGGCTGCCATATGAAGCTAGAACTCCCATTCTGCCAGAGAGCAAAGGGTTTGCATGTTTTCCTGCCCTGTAGATGACATGAGTGTCAATGAAGTCTTAAAACTGGCCCCAAGCCCAATAGCTCCCCAGCCCCTGCTTCTGTCTGTCCTCACTATCCTGAACACCAGGAAGAAACCCTGATCAAGAACCCAGGAGCCAAATCTGGTGTACCCTGATTTTGGATTTCCAGCCCCCAGAACCATGAGAAACAAATGTCTGTCATTTAACCTGCCTCATCTATGATATTATGTCAACAGCAGCCCAAACTGACAATGGTAGTCCCTGCTTAGACAAAATCTATGATCCTAAAACCCCTTTAAATCCCAGGCTGGATCCTGAACCTCCATGAAGTGTTTAGGCCCCAGAACCATACGAGTCACAGAGGCTTCGGTCACCGTGGCGCTCATGAGTTAATGTTTTCCCAAACCCAGGAGAAACACCAAACAGTGTTCCTTCGCTGTTCCACAGGAGTAAGCACCAAGCTCTTTAGGAAATAGCTGGTCTAGTTTTCTCATTCCAAATCTAAACCTCAAAGCTAAATGCGCAAGGTGACACTGAAGGCCGTACTCACGTCCAGAGACTCCAGGCAGTACCAGCAGAAGGCGTGCTTGCAGTTCTTGCACATCATCTGGGCGCAGCCTTCGTCTCGCTCGATGTAGACCCTGCACTTGGGGCAGCGCTTGATGGGCGCATCGTCCTCTTCCATTTTGAACGCAGCACTGTGGGAGAAACGCCGTGAGGACCCTGCACAGACAGATCCCACAGGAGACCCAGGAGCATCGGCTACGCTGGAAGCATCAGCTCCACTCCACTTGGTATTAGATGAAAAAAAAAAAAACAAAAAACAAAAAACAAAGAACCGGAAACTCCAGAAAAAAAAATTAACCAAAACACTGTGAATCAGCCAATTTGAGTTAGGAAAAATTAAAAAAAAAAAAAAAAACCAGCAACATCAGCACGTATCTAAATTTAGAGATATTATGTATATAGACAAAAGAAAATACAGCAAAAGGCTTATTATAACGGAGGTATCTGAATAATCATGTTAAGGTCAAACAGTGTCTGCTTAGTCACACAGCTGTCTACTTTCCAAAGGGTTGATATAAATTGTATGTACTTTGCTGTTAAAAGAAAAATAAATAAATGTTGCAAATGCACACACATAAACACACACCGTTCACTTGGATAGATCCACCTGGCTCTTTTTACAAAATTGTTTTCCTCAGAAGTTGGCTAGGTCTGCAGGGTTAGCACAAAGGGCTTTAAGCTGAGGTCAAGGTTGGCTCTGCTACAAACTAGCTGGGAAGCAACTCTCCAAGCCCTAGTTTTCTCATCAGTGTGACCGTGAGAAAAGATTCCGTGTGACAAGAGCACAGTGCAGGGCTGCAGCTTTTATGAAGTGTGAGCCACAGCCACTTACACTGTATTCAATGTTGCTAAGAAGGATAACACAGACATTAGGTATGACTCACCTCATGCTGTTAATTTTTAAAAGATAGGTAAGAACATTCATAAAAGCATCTGAAGGAATAAATGATAAACTGTTAAGACAAGTGATCACTGATTATGGGGGTGCATTTGCTATTTTGTTGAACTCGCTAAGTTAAACCAACATCAGCAGGAGAAAATGCATGCCTCCTTTGCAGTGAGTAGCTTTTTCAGAATTTAACACATTTGTGAGTGTATATTCACTGAAGTTGGGCAAATTCTGGCATTCTGAGTGCATTCTGGCTGAAGGATCTCTCACAAGCTTCCTAGTCAATATGAGCATTAAATGTAGTTTCACCTTAGTATGAGCTGTCTGATGATTGGCAGTGAACAATCCTCCACTTGGGGTGCACATTCCAACTGAACGTGACTGTTTGGTCCATTAGTAGAAGGCAACAGGGTAAGAAATAATGAGAGAAGCAGTATGTCCTCCTAATTAGGAGCACAGAGTCTTGAGACAGACAGATCCTAGCTGTGCTATTTATGTCTTATGTGTCTCAGTTTCCTCGTCTGCAAAACAGATGAAAAAGGCTAAGAGCATCCATCTCTACAGGCTGTCGTGAGAATTACAGAGGTTGCACATGTTAAGCGCAGAAGCCAGCACATAAGTACCAGGCACTCAATAAACAGTAGTTATTATTAAGACCTGTTACTGAAAGATAACACAATGGTCACTAGCTCACATGCTTCCAATTTAAAAGCAAACTGCAGACCAACCTGGCCACGCAGGATGTGATAAAGAATGAACTAAGGTTGCTGCAAGGAGCAAATGAGATAGCATATGTGCAAATGTTTCCAGAGGGATCCAGCACACAGCCAGCTCCGAGCAAACCGTAGCCCTGGCTTGCTTCTGAGAATGACTTTGATTTTGCAAAAAGCTGGAAGTCATGAGACACCGAATCTGGTGATCGAGCTTGGTTTTCAGGTTAGATAACACTGTTTTGGTTTGAAAGCCAGGCGTCACCTTAAAGCTAAGAAACCAGTTCTCTCATGTGACTCACAAGATGATTTTGAACGAAACGGCAGGAACACCATGTACAGTGTCTCCTGGGGAGACATTTCAAGATGAAAACAGTTAAAATATGCAAGTTCTGGTGTACTGTGCTATGCATAAAATTTTGCATGATATAGACAATGGTTTTCAAATATTTCCTAGTATCTGAGTTGGATTTAAAATGATTACTAATAACACTTACTGTAAACTCATTATAAATGCAGACAAGAGTTTTGACAGTTTAATCACAATCCACATGTGGCCCAGCATCTTGAAGGGGTGGGCAGGTGATGCTAAATGAGTGAAGTGGTCAAGGGGCTGGATAAAAACATGGGTGAGGAGAAGATTTAACCAAAAAAAAAAAAAAAACACCCCTCCAATACAAAAACTAGCTGAGTGCCTTCTCACTTATAAATGGCAGCTGATAGGCAGCCTCAGTTCCAGGGGGACAAGAAGGAGCGTGAGGACTGTTGGGCTTTGGCCCAGGAGGTGCCCCAGGCAAGGGCCGCTGCTCTGCTGTGCTGGCTGCCAGCAGGGGGAGGCAGGCTCGGAGAGGCTCAGGATTCAGATTTCCCAGAGAAGCCAGAAATTCCAGTTTTTATGTGACATCTTCTGATTTTTAAATTTCCACAAAATGAGATTTCTGAATTTTGATTTAGATCGCCTTTGGAGAATAATTTAAATGAGACTAGAATGTCACAGATAAAGAAAACTAAGTCATCAGGCTCCAAACACTCACCAGCCTCCATCTAACGTTTTGAAGCCTCTAAGATGCCAAGTACAAGTGAAGTATAAGTACAAGTGGTTTGTGCTTGCAGCTGCCTGCCTGATGTAGGCTGCTCAGAAAGGCACAGGTTGCGTCAGGAGCTCAACCTGATGGCAGAATCGGCCCTGTCAATAGAAGAACTCCAATCCAATTATGTCCAGGGTTGTAACAATGCAGACAATCTCAGGGGGAACACAGAGGGTGGAGGCCCCAACCCTGTCCTGGGAACTGGGAAGCTTGATAAAGGGATGTGATCTCCACCTGAAGTGTGGCAGAAGCCCCCAGGGAAAGGAGGAGGGCGGAGCAGGGCGCTCCAGACACAGGAAGAGAGGTTCGCCCGGAAGGAGACCAGGGTTGTGTGGCAGGGACCCTGAGAGGGTCTGGGGCTAGAACAGGGCACAGGGGTCACGTGGAAAGGAACGGGAGTTGCGGACAGTGGAATGGGAAGAGGGGCACACAGGGAGCAGCTGGTGAGCACACCCTGGGGAGGGTGGTGGGCAGAGTGGCAGCTCCTCTGTGAGGAACCTGGACTCAACAGGAACAGGGTCAAGTGTCTAGTGGAACCATGTGACCTTGCAGATTTTGTAGGACAAAAACACCTGGATATGATCAACTTCCTATGCATCAACCTACGAAATGTCACGGTACAGAGCACAGCGCGGCAGCATCCTCCTGGGCAAACAGCCCGACTATGGCTGCAGGGGAGGCTGCCACCAGGGAGTGTCTTCCCATCCCCTTCCAGACAGTATTTATGACCGGGGCACCCTACTCCTGTTCTTGTTCCTGTACCCCCATTTCAGATCACCTTCAACACAGTGAAGTCTTGGAGAAACTTCAGGTAGTGCAGGACTTGCAACCCTTAGAAGTCACAAACCATGCATGCATTTGTCATTCTAGCCGAGCCGTGTTAAGTGTGGTTCTCACACACCTTTCTATTTCCAGGGTCTCACACAGTGCCTGGTACACAGTTCTCAAAAATAAATAGACATACAAATAATGACAGGCTTGAGTGAGGCTCAAGAGGTACAGTGTGTGTTAGGGTTGACTGAGCCACAGCCACTTACACTGTAACAGCACTTTTAGGAAGAAACATGCCTGCCTGCTTCTCCTGGCCCACAGCCCACGCCTTTGTGGCAGAGTGTGTACAAAGGGTACCTGGTCTCCCCGGGAAGGAAGGTGATCGGCATGGTCTCCGGGCAGCCCTGGCCAGGGTGCCAGCTGGCTTTGCAGGTGGAACAGAATTCCATATGGCAGGCTTTGCACTGCACTGGCTGGGGGGTCTGCAGCCCCACGTCCTGGAGCTGACACACAGCCTGGCAGGTGGACGCTGGGCACCAAGTCCGACAGGGATCAAACAGCACCTCTGGTATAGGGAGACAAAATGGGCAAATCAAACTTAAGCCAGAGGGTCACGTGGGCTTCAGAGGAAGAAGCCCCTCAGTGCACGGACAGAAGGAACACGTCCAGGTAATACAGCCAGCATCACCAGCCCCAACCGAAGCACTGCCCAAGTCACCCTTCCACCTCCACCTCCCAACTTCTCCCTTCATGCAACAGACCTCCAGACACCCCAGGCATCCCTCAGGAATGCTGCTCCTGTCCCTGGAATGCCCTTGGAGCCCTGGGTCAGCCCTGCTTGCCTCCGGGACTCAGCTCACAGCTCAAAGGCCTCCACATTCTGGAAAGCTTGTCCCACCTGCCTGTCAGGTTTCCCTGAGCAACGCACATCATGCTAGCTCATCTGCCTCCAGTAGGGGACAGCTTTCTGAAGCCGGGCCCCTGATGGCCCGTGTTGGGCACACACCCAGCACCAGGAAAACGCTGTTAGAAGACGGAAAGGAAGACGGAAGAAGATGGCTGGATTATTCTTCTAACCAAATGGTTCACCTGCCTAAGATGGCCTCCCCTTCTCAAATCCAAGCTATGAGTTAACTACGGAGTGAAACCAACCCTTCAAGGGCCAGATTTTCTCTCCAAATCACAGCGCACATTTCTAAGAGCCCAATCTTATGGAGTTGGCCAAGAAGCTTATTTCTAAAAACAGGACACCTTGACACATCTATTTCTTCACATCCTTGTCCAAAAACTGCATTTCTTTAAATTATTGGCTGCCCTTTGTAAGGAGACTGGTTGTTCATTTCATCTTCCCTCTTGTCCGGCATGACGCCGAATTCTCGATGGGGGCCACCCCAGGGAGAAGGAAGGCTCTGCCAGAAAGCTCTCCGAGGCCAGTGCAATGTGGGCTATTTCCAAAGGCGTTCTGGTGGGCCACTGGTTTCTAAGTTTTCAGCGAGGCTCTTCTTGGGAAGTCGTCATCTGTCGGGACAACTGAGTTTCAGAGATGACTTGAAAGGCGATGACAAGTCCTTGCAAATGTCCGGGCCCTGTGACTGGCAGCCGGGCAGCTCCCGCTCACCTGCATCACACATGGGATTCCTCTCACTGGAATCCACAACAGGCTGGCACCACGCGTGGACCAGGACTTCACCTACACGCATTGCGACGGGACCAGCAGCAAATTAATGACAAATCACCAGCTGGGTGTCCTGACGGTGCACACACATATGTACGTGTAAGGCTCTGTGTGTTTACATGTTCCCCCAATACATGGGGAAGCCAGATTCAGCGCTCTAGAAACCATCTTGTGGAGGGTCTAGCTTTGAACTAATCTAGTCATCTAATCCAGGGGCTGGCAAACTTCCTCTGTAGAGGGTCGGATAGTCATCATAGAAGTCGAGGACCAAGTTGTTTCTGGGTTTCTGTACTAACTACTGGGCTTTGCTGTTGCAGCACAAAAGCAGACACAGTGACCTGGAAATGAATGTTCCAGCAAAACTTGACAGCAGCAGGCCACTGGCCGGACTGGATCTGGCCCACTGGCCATGGCAGGCTGACCCTTGATCTCATCTGGCTGCTCCCTGCCTTTTTTTTAAAGCGTGAATTAATCAACAGCACAAAAACTGTCCGAATGTTAGGGGTGGTAGAAGATTAAGCAGAACTTGATAATAACGGGAACGCTGGAGGTCAGGAACAGGTGCTCTACTCTAATTATCTTCATTAGAATAATCTAAAATCCCCAGGGTGCTCCTCATAGCGAGTGAATGGACACAATTAGCTCTTCTCTTATCTGTTGATAGTTTCTGCATTTGCTTTTCTAAGAATGTTCCTAGCTGTCAGTTCTGACTAGTGGCTTTTTGAGAAAATGTAGTTGTTGTCTGTGGGTCACCTGTGTGGGGGCAGATGCCTGGGGCTCCCCTGAGCTGAGGGTCCACAGCAAAGCAAGGAGGGGCTGCACGTGCCGGCCTGGGGCACTGAGCGCCACACTGAGCAGTGAGGAGGAAACGCCAAAGGCTAAAGGCAGCTGGCCTGGGTCACGCTCCCATCCGGTACCTGCGATGCCTCCAACAACTCTCTGCCTGCTGTCTGTGCATGCTGTGGGGTGAGCCCAGCTTTGTCCCCAATGAGATAGGAGGCCCGTGTCTGCCCAGCCCTGCAGGAGGCTGCAAGTGCTCCGTGCACTGAACAATACACTGCGCGCGAAGAGAAATCCTCGCTCACTCTTTGCTCTCCTCCCGGTACAGCTCTGGGGCTAGACCCAGAAGGGCAGTGCTGCCTGCTACGGACCCTTCCCCTAGCAGGGTTGTCCCCACCCCTCCTATGCGGTGAGGAGCTTCTGACATCAGCAAGAAGCAGATGTCCCAAAGCTGGGTCTCGGTATCTTCATGCACGTGATGGTCATGCACCACCTCCTGCCCACTCTCCTGGCTCAAGAGTGGGAGACGCTATTATGCGCCCCCATCACGAAAGGCCCCCCAGGACAGCACGCAGGGGAGACCTGGCTAAGGTTTCCATGGGAACGATTTCAATCTTATTAGTTTTGTCCTCACAGAGCTGTCACTTGGCACTGCCTGTCCTCATACAGACAGATTCCTCATCAAAAAGGTCAGGGACAAATGGCTGCTCAGACTGCTGACTGCAAACGTGCTTCCTGTGCTGCCAGGGCACGTCACACCCTGTGAACACGGCCCCAGGCTCAGGTGTACATGTCTATTAACATTCTGCATTATCCTCCCCATTATCCTCCCCAACACGTACCACATACGTGTGTAGTGTATGAGACATATTTTCAAACAGAGCAAATAATATATTTTTGGCACACTAGAGGCAACTAATGTTAATTCTTATCTCCCAGAGGTGTATTCATCGCAGGTTAATGAAGCGGGTCTCTAAGAACTCCCTGCTTAAAAATGCCTAAGACTTTTTAAAAAGGTGGCTTTCCTTTTAAAACAGTTTCCTTTCAGAAGCACATGACAGATGACAGTGCACCCAGCATCCCCTCTCATCCCTGCACTTACTACCCTGCCCAGCCGGGCTGCTGCCTGGTGCGGGGCTGGGATGCTGGGTTTGATCCTACTGTGAGATGGTAACATTTTCAGGTGTTGGCTCTAGTCGGGCCTGATTACAGGTGGATAACCCGTTGTATTATTTAATCTCTCTGAGCTTTACTTTGTTTTAAAAAAACAAAACAAAACAATACGTGGTGAGATTGGACGTCAGCATTCACTTGGCCAGGCACTGGGCTGGCAGTGGGACATAGGCATGAGGACCCACAGTCCTGTCTCTGGGACGGCTGAGCCTCCAGACAGAGGAACGTGCGCGGGAACGCCCTTAGCACAGCACTGCTGGGTCTCAGAGGGGCACGGGCATCGAGTGTAGCGTGGAGAGAGGGGTCCACACCCCCTCACTCAAGAATCTGTCCCTCCCCAGACTCTGGAGTGAGCCAGTTGTGAGGAGGTGCTCAGAATGAAAATCCAGCTTCCTGGCCCCCTTCCCTGGCTTCCTGCTTGCTCCAGAAGGGGAGACATGGACACGAAATCCAATGTCTACTCTGTTACATCAGAGGAGACACTCTAAGACTAAATGCAGACAGTGTGCGCAATATGACCTAACCATAGAACTTTCTGGTAACTAAATGTTTTCAGAAAATCATTGAACTGTCTCAGTTTTCTTCCAGAGCATCCTCTACTTGACTAGATTTTAGAGGCACAGAGAAATCAAAATTTGCTTTCTGATCTTGTCTCCAAACTCTTTCAAGGCGCTGGCTATAATCCATAGCTATATTTTAGCTCTGACATTCTAACATTTTATCTAGACAGGTCTTTTATTGTATTAAGTCTGAATACTTAAAAAAATACTTTTAACATAATGTTAGCAAAATGTTTTAAAGTGAGAGGTTTGAGAGATTTTTTTTTTAACGGAAGCCAAGTTGGCTTCATGTTTATGCAAAAGGAAAAAAGATTTTTTGACTAAGCCAAAGTACTAAAGAAATAACAGTTAAAATTATTAGGTTGGAAAATGTACCCAGCTGCATTTTAAAATTAAATTCAATGTCATAGAAAGTTCATATTCTTGTAACGCAAACAACAGCCAGTTTCTGTCAAGATTCTCTCTGGAAAATATTCTCAGAAGAGCCTGAAAGTCTCAGAAATCCAAATTAATCCGTTTTATTGCTCTACATACTGACTTTTGTACCAAATGACATTATATTAAAGCTATAAACTGCCCCAAAGCAAATGATATACGACACTTAAATAAACACACTCTTGAAAACAAATGGCAATGCCATGAAAAATCCTGTTTGAGTCTTTTTTAAGTAGGCTATATATTTTTTTCCTTTCTTATTTTTTTTAAAGACAGGGTCTCGATACGTTGCCCAAGCTGGACTTGAACTCCTGAGTAGCTGAGACTGCAGGTACATGCCACTGGGCCCAGCTATCTCTAGCATTTCTTTTACACAGCAAAAATATACAAACAGCAGGTCTCTGCATGCAGCTAAACTGGGAGTCTCTGGATATTGTCCCCTGGTCTCGTCTCCTCTGCCGTCCACTCCCCATCTGGCCATGCTTTCACGTAAGCCCATGCTCCAGGGCTGTGTCTCAGTAGTGAGACCCTGTTCAGGTCAAGAACCCGAGAATCCGTGCAGGGAGAGGGAGAGCAGATGCCAGCAATCCAAACCCAGAATCCGTCTGCAGGGTCCTCACGATGATGTTCTGCATAAGGAGTGTCGCCTGCACACATCTGTCACTCGGCTCTTTAGCAGACGAGCCTGGGGCCCAGAAGAGATATGAAAACAAAGCCAAACAGAGTCCACAGACCCTTTACGGTTTCATTGTATGAGCCCGGAGTACTTCAGAGAGCAGAGCTAAAGACCTCTTCTGGACATTCCACGTGGCTTAATGCTTTGCAATATGATCCTGAGAATCATACTCTGCTCTGTGCGCACCTGCCACACTGCTCTCCCAGAGGACCCCTGGGTCTGCATCAGGCCTGCTCCAGCCAGGAGGGCTATGCAGGGCCCAGTGGAGAGCGCATGACGACGGGTCATGGGATGTGGTCCCAAAGCACCCACTATATTTAGAAATCAGGGCAAGTCAGTTAGCCTCTCTGGGGATCCGTTTATTAGATAATGACAAATTAGCTTTGCAGAGTTGTTGTGTCACTTACTGGGATAAGGGACTTGATTATTCATTTAGCACCTACTATCTAGGCCTGTGTCCAGTGGTGAGTAAGTGCAGACAGGACAGCTACCATTGGACTGTTGTTAGGAGGGGGGTTACTGTAATTTCTGCTATGCCTACCCTCATGACTTCCCTCTGTGACTTTGCATTTTTTAAATTCTGGGCCAGCCCAAGAGTTTAACCCTCAAACTCTTAGGCTTAAGCTGGCTGAAATCTAATACTTCATGAGAGCCATCATCTTTAAACCTCCCCCAGGAGCCTATAAATCCCTATAAACAAATTGTGTTCCATAAATTCTTCCTGCTACCAAACAGATCACTAGACAAGGTCTTCAAACTGTGAGCTGTTCAGAGAATCCAGAATGTCAGTTTAATTTCAGAAGTTTAGTTTACATCAACTTTTTAACTCCTATCAAATGCTGTATAACCATAGCTACCAAAAGAACTCCCCACAAAATTATCCACATTCATACATTACAGGAACCATAACTGGCAGACATATCAGGCACCTACCTCTTTCAAATTGTAGCTTTTTATATCTTTGCATAATTTCAGCTGCAACCATGCACTCAATCTAAGGGGAAAAAAAATGCAAACAAGAAAGATAACAAGCTGAGGGCTACAATATAATGCAATGTACACCCAAACAAAACCCACGTTATTCTGACAAGTTCAGCTGTGCACGCTAGAGCACATCAAACAGCCCAGTCTGTTCAATTGCACATGCCTCGTTCTCCTGTAGGTGGCCCTGTTTAGGGCACGCAGCATCTGGGCAGCTAATTGCGGTTTCTAATCCTTCTTTGATCAAGAGCTCAACATACTGTTTCAGGCACTGAAAGAAAAACAGAGAAGGGTCTATAAACATCTTTACCTCCTTAATGCTGAAGAAATCATGATGCATTAAAAAAAGGACCAAGAACATTGTTGCATTATAGTTTAATATTTTCACTGTCTAGCCCATAGCAACCAACAAATTTGAGGTTTCGAGGTTTTATTCATTCAATAACTATTTATGGGGTACCCATTCTGTGCCAGGGACTGTATGCTCAATCACAAAGCTAAGGCTATGGGTTAGATCCCCGCACAAAACCTCAGCAAACACAAGAGCCAAGAATTCTAAAAGCAAGAAGAAAGGCTGCAAGAGAGGCTGGGAGGTAATATTTCTCAAATGCCTATGAGATGCAGCCACTGCATTAAATATTTTATCTCCCACTGTTTCACTGAAGCCTTAGAGCATTTTTACAAGAAAGGTATGACTGTTCCATTTTTCATATGTGAAAACTGAGTCAGCAAAGAAGGAAGTTGCCAACTTCCACAGATAGTACCCAGAGCCTTGATGTGAACCCAAGCTTGCTCAGACAACATGCTCACATTCTCCCTGCTGAGAACCCAACTGTATTTGGCATTCCTCACTCAGGGTGCCTCACTTACCTGGCAATTACTATCTACCTTACCTACTTGGAGGCCCTGCTTAAAGCCTGAAGTAAGTCAAACAAGAGGAAGTGAAGGAAACGAAGTAGAGTTAACATAAAAGATTCTGTGGTCTTCACTCCTGCTTTACAAAGTCTACTAGTCTTAGAAATCTAGTGTTCCCTGAAAAGCATATTATAAACAGCAATGAGAAGAAACAATATGGCCTTTGCCAGCTAGGCTCACTACCAAGAGAAACTAGATGTAGAGCTTATATAAGAACTCAAAGAGCATAGAAAATGATGTAAAATCCCACAATGGCATCCCCAAATCAACTTCACACAGTCCCAGTATAATTAAAGTTCATATTAGCAATAATATATAATATTACAATACCATTATTAAAATATAATAGCAATTAATCGAGAAAAATCCATACGCTATGTTTGCTGATACCTCCCCGCAAAAATGTATAACCCATTTTATTACAAGAATGTATAATCATTACTAATGAATGGGTCTAAATGGAAATCCAACTGCAATTCCTTCTACTTCCATGTTTAGAACAAGTCTGTTAATCTCTCTCTACCATCCTTATTTTCCTGCTCTGCAATTTAGGGTGGTTTAACCTACCTCACAGTGGAGTTGTAAGAATCTCAGGCAAGGGAAAAAGTTTAGAAGAATACACAGAAAAGAGTATACGCTTGATATATAGAGAATAATTTGATCTAAACTGGTAATACTCCCCATCCTAGCAAAATAGAATATTTCATTCACTGAAGACTCCAGATTGCAATTTCTTTAAAAAATAAAAATCAAGGTCATCCTCAGAAAGAGCCACTTCCCAAAGCTTTTCTCAAGAGCTACAACTTCAAGTGCAAATTACAACGTTGGTGGCTCCACACTGAACCCTGTGTTCTAGCCTGTGTTCTTTTGATCTGCCTGGGCTCTGATGATTGCAGTGGCTCTGAACTGAGGTTTACACAGATAATCCACATTTTGCCAACCTAAGGTTTAGGAAGACAGTTCCCAGAGTAGTGAGTATGGACGAGCCCAGGCTTGGAGTTCTACGTGAGACTCCAGATGGCAGAATTTTCAGAGATGAATTCATTAAAACCAATGCAAAGGCTTTTCTCAGAACAAGGGAGAGGCAGAGGATGAGCAAGAGAGGAGTCACACCCAGCCTTCAGCAGGGCTGCAGCCTGGTCCTGGGTAGTATCCGCCGACATGTTAAGTGCCAGTGGCGCTGTGGACTACTAGAGTGGTGAACCATTGTAACAATGAGCTGGACAGTTGGCAGATCAGTGGAACTTTCTGTTTATGACTGGGTGCCACATGACAAGGGAGAAAGACTGTAGGCTTCAGAGCCAGACAGGCTCAACCAATCCGTGTCCCTCAAGTCAGAGTTTGGGCAACAGCTCCCTTGACAATAAAATCAGAATGCCCATCTCCCTGCACTTTTGTGACAGTAATCTATGAAAGCACCTGGCATAATTCCTGGTAGACAGCACCAGCTACGTAAATAGTGGCTGTTGTTTCTTTTTTGTCTACTTACGTGATATGTCTCTTACAGTTATAGGCATTTAAAAATCCCATAACCTTGGCAACAAGATCATTATTTTACTTTCTATTATGAAGTTAGTCTAAATTGGGTCTCTGGGGGATACTGGAATGCCTTAAACCAATATACGATGCTGGAGACTCTCAGAATATTGTGCAGATCAGCATATAATGATAGAACGTGACTCTTCTAAGAAGCAAAATACAACAATTAAAACCGGCATGAAGCGTACACCCATATGCAACAAGTAGTGAGTCACGTCTGGGTTTCGAAGCTACCCAAGAGTGAACATTATGTGTCATCAGGATGCAGCTATCTGTGCAATTTGCAAAAGGATTATGTTCTGGGAATATCAATTTGTTCACTATATAAAGAGAGATGAGGTTCCAAGCGCCTGACCTTGCATCCATCAAAAACAAGCCCAGCTTTCTTCCAGATATAAAGTGGGTCATGACTCACAAGCTATGGTTTTCATTCTAATTGCAAAAAGATGTCTTGACATGAGCACAAAAATAGGTAAACAGAGAAACTTCTGTAAAATACACAGCCTGAAAGCAGACACTGACACATTTTCCTACTATTGCACTCATTATAGTAGTCAAATGCTTTCTAAGTCCTAGATTCTATGTGAATCGCATTACCTATGTTAGCTCATTAAACATGCACAAAAGTCATATGGTGTGTTACCACGCTCACACGACAGATGAGAAAACCAAGGCTCAGAGACGTTAACAACAGCTCAAGTAGAAGCACTAGGGCTCAAACCCACGTGTGGCTGGTTCCAAGGCTGGTGACGTTTTACGTTTGTCTGTTTTAAATTTTTTGCATACTTACTCCTCAATTGAAAACTTTTAGATGAGCCAGTTTAGAGATCTAACACACAACACGAGGACTAACTTTAATACAATTGTATCGTATCAGGGATTATTGTTAAGTGAGAAGATTTTAGCTGCTCATCACCATAAAAAGCAGCTATGTGAGATGATGAATATGCTGGGCTGCTTCGCTATATGACCATTGTATTATCTATATGTATCCCATAATACTATGTTGTAAACCTCAAATGCAAACAATAAAATTTATTTTTTTTAAAAAAAGAACTCTTTCAAAAGCAATCATTCAATACGTATTTTCTGTTTACCTCATAAACTTTTTTTATAGACAAGGAATCATACGTACTTTAAAGGGGCACAGTGTCAGTCAACCCCGAGAACATCTCCTTTGTATGCTCATGCTGCTGCAAACACAATGATTCATTTGCAAGGCTGCAAATGCGATCAAGACCCACACAGCCCAGTGTGGAGGAAAGAGGCGTGCAGAGATCATCATCACAATGCACTGTGCTCCGTGCTCTCCTGGGGCCACTTCAAGGGGACAGGGAGGCTCTAACGGGCCAGTACATGGGTAGAGAGGAGGGGTCCCCCCTGCGGGGGATCAGGGAAGGCTTCCCAGAGATGAAAATTTGGCCAGAGGGTCAAAGGCATTGCAGGAAAAAAGGGATCAGCCACACAGAGGGAAGAAAGGGGGGTAAGCCACAGAATGTTCCAGGAATTTCATTTTCCACTTTGGTTTCCAACTCTTTGAAACCTGATGAGGAGACAGCACTGCTGATTTGCTAATATACCTCCGGTGCGTCACAAGTTTCCTGCCAAGGAGAAGCGGCCACGGAGAAATATCTGCCTCGCCTAAAACTACAGCAAGTCTGATTTTTGTCTGCTTTTTCACACGAAGGCCTGTTGGCTACTGATGACCCTACAAGCAGGAGAAAATGCCCAGAAACTGTGCTCAAAGGTGCTTATCTGGGATCCACGATTTATGAACACAAGCATTACATGCAGGCAGGTCCAAACTGAAGCAGCAAGAGTCCCACGAACAGTGGTTGGGAGCAAAGACCCTGGAATCACAAGGCTGCCTTGAAATTACAGCTCACCCACTGTGCAGACATGTGGGTCTAGCATGGACCTTCGTCTCCCAGTGCCTCCCCTTCCTAATACTGTGGGATAAGCTTGGCGGACAGAAGGACAATCACTCCACAGCTCCAGTGCCCCGGAGACAGTGGTGCTCTGGCATATTGCTCACACGCTCTGCAAGGCTTTCTCTCAGCCTTTCTAGAGCCATCAATAATCCATGGTCTGTTGATGTTTCTCCTCTAGTCGATGGTGAATTCTTTGAAAGCAAGATCTATTAATTATTTATCTTTCTATTCCCATACCTAACAGAGTGCTGGCAAACAGCAAGGGATGAATCAAAGCCATGCAGATACAGGGTGGATGGAAGGACACAGAGATGAGTAGAACACCCACAGAGTAGCCAGACACCTGGCAACACCTGGCTGTAGTTAAGCAGGCTGGAGGCATGACCCCCTGCACACCTTCCCTTCTGAGGACAGCCTCATGGGAATCCCCCTAGCAACTCTCACTGGGTGGCCCTGGGAACCTGGAGCGAACTGCCCAGCAAGCTGCACAGTACGTGTTCTGGCAAGGATCACTTTCCTCAAGGATATGGGAACGTGACTTCGCTCACAAGCTGAAGGGTTCAAATTATAAAGTTTGCTTTTATAAAGTTCTTGGAAAAAAAAACACAAAACAAAACCCAGACTTTACGCATAAAATGAATGCTCTCATCTACATGAGTTCTCGCTTCTGTCGAGCCTTTAGACCCGCCGTCTCCTCTCCTGTGCTCTCGCCACAGCCTTGGGTGGCGCGCAGGAGGCAGGTGCTCATGATCAGCTGCTTCAGGTCGCGATGGGCGTGCTGCTCCCCTGCGCTACCTTTCTCCCAAGGTATCTAAGACTAAGGCCCTTCAGCTGCAGAACAAGAAGATGATCCTGCTTTGCAGGGGGCATCCTTGCTGGAAGTGTG